TTGGTATGGATCTTAGTTCTGAAACACCCTGTACATTTGAAAATAATTTTAAATTGTGCACATTACCTCCCCACATATACCCATAAAATATTTTCTTTCTACATCTTTCCGTTTTCGTATAATCAACCGAGGCGAATGAGGTGCGCCACCCTGTATATCTATATTTGTTTAGTTCAGTGAATTTGCTAATTCCGGTTCCAAAAATACCTTAATACCATAGAGTATACTCTGTGGTTCTTGAATTATGACCACGTCCATGAGGACGTCAATCTAGACGTTCAGGAACCTTCACATGAGAACTTCTAATCGAGACGATCGACTTATTGTAAGTTTATCGCTAAGAAACCGCCCTTTGCCAGCTTTTCAAATTGATAATGAATTGCACTTAAGGAACGTACATATTAACTAACGGACTATAAGAAGAAGATTAAATGAAGTAAATCTTATATCAAGAAGGTCTGCTTCGAAACCAGAACTTACTAGATTTAAACGAACGAAACAAGCTCACAAAATTTCACTTTAATACATACTTTTGTTCTCCTTGCAAAAACCGCGTCGTATATGACGCGCCACCCTGTATAATTCAATTTCCATCAAAATTTCAATGATTAGAACTTATGCATTAGGGCACAAACATAGTGAGGCATCTCGATGCGATGCTCGCCAAGATGATGGCCGCGCTGCTCGCCAGGATGGTAGCCGCGATGCATCCTACGCGCACTGTTTTAAAACGGCGAATAGGGGCGCGTAGGCATACTGAAACATTTACCATCGCCGTTTTATTAAGCACCAGTTTATGTAATAGTAGTTATTAATTAGTATAGGCTTGGTGGCATTTCAGTTGATTTCAACAAATTCCTACCGCAGCGAGTCAATGGCAAAAATCAGAAATTATCCCTATCTATTTCACGTCGCCGTCATGTTGATCGCATAGAATAATATTGAAATCGTGGTTTTGTTATATTATATAAGTATTTTAGTTTTTTGCTAGTGCAGTTATTGAGACAAAAAGAGATAAAACACTCAGGTACCAGGTTTGTGTGATGTAACGCTGTTTCGGGTAGTAAAAAATAAATGAAAAAGAATTCGAACAAGGCGACGGCGTCGGCGTCGTGCTGTGTTGTGACAATGTCAAATGTTAATAAAATCGCCGAAAAAATGTTAACGCATAAAGGAGAGCGCAATTAGGGCGTTGTTGGGTGCAATTACATTCAATAACTCAACTTTCCCGGATATTCAACTCTCCTGAAACAAAATTTTATAGCTTCATAGTTTCTCACACCGATTTGATCAAAAGCAATTTTCATTCAAATTTGATCAAAAGCAAAAAAGAAACAAGTGAGTAAACAAAGTGCTCGTTACATAATCAAAATATTAAAAAGACATATACTATGAGATGATAAAATATAATTTGCAATTAATGGTATACTTTTTTTAATCAACTAGTGATTAAAGTACTTGCTATAAATAAATAAAGTCCATAAACTAATTTCGATTTTGAAAATAGCTACTGTCACTAGAAACTTGCCATGACGACATCAGCCCTCTTTGTTGCCATTTTATTGAAAAATTGCTCTTTATTCAAAATCTGAGCTAGATAGGTATAGGACACCCTAATATATGTAGTTTAAAAGAGCATTTGAATCTGTTTCGATTTATTTTAAAAAATAGGTTGTCGTATTTGAAATAACAAAGTTTTTATGTAAAATAAATATTTAAAATAAATCATCATTTTTGGTACCCCTGTATAAATTTAAGGCAGCAATACAATTTTTCAGTAAAGTTTATTTCTCTATCTTTCAACTCAGCACAAGAATTAATTCTAAAAAGTAATGTACAGGCTGTTGATAATCTATTTCATTGTAGCATGCATATTTAAATATCTCAAAAACCAAAGCTTGTAAACATATTAATATATAATAACCCTTATAATACATGCCTTATTTTGTGTCCAAGGATCCAAATAAGAAATAAAATATCGGGTGTTCCATAAGAAAAAAATATAATTTTGGTGTAAATCTTAGTTCTGACATACCCTGTACATCTCAAAATAATTTTAAATTGTGCATATTGCCTTCCCACATATACCTATAAAATATTTAGTTCCTACATTTTTCCGTTTTCGTATAATCAACCGACGCGAATGAGTTGCGCCACCCCGTATATAGGTGTTCCATTTAAAAAAAATATTCGCGATCCACTCATACTTTTTTGAGCCACCCTTTAGATGTTCAAATATTTTCCTCAAATACATCCTAATACATACTTTATGTCTGGACTACAAAATTCTACAAAAAGTTTTTTATTATTAGAACTACAGATGCCCGACGCACTATTGCCGGACCCTGTAGAATCAAGGTTATTACATTGTTGGTGATAAATTAAATATTAGTGTTGTGAACATTTTATTCCACCCGACTCTAGTTCGACATATACTCAACGAATTGTGATACTAAACAGACCAATCAGATGTAAAGTTTCAGGCATCCGCGTCCGCTTCTCGCAAAAAAACAAAAATTTTGTTTTTTAGGAAGCATCGCGCTGAACATCTAGGTGCGTGACGAGGTGCGAGGCTCCAGTATGTTTTGACGCATAAATTTGTACATGTTTGATTCAGCATCGCCGGATGGCGAGGTGAATGGCGCGCATCGTATCGAAATGAAATGCCCCGCACTATGTTTGTACGATAGTCACGATGCATCCTACGTGCACTTACTCGCCGTTTTAAAACAGTGCGCGTAGGATGCATCGCGGCTAGCATCCTGGCGAGCAGCGCGGCCAGCATCTTGGCGAGCATCGCATCGAGATGCCTCACTATGTTTGCGCCCTTAGATTTATTTATTTCAATAAATTTAAATCAAAAAATTAAGAATGAAATAATTAAGAATTTACTAAAATTACTACAATAAAAAATTAAAAGCAACGAAAAAAAATGGATAAACATTTTAGTATTTTATCTATAAAACACAATACAGAAGGTTTCACATTAATACATTCATAGTAATTGAATTCCGAGATAAAATTCTCTAGGCACTCCACTATTAGGACGTATTTATATATTTTTCATATTTTCACATGTATATATTTTTCAGCTTTTCTTAAAAAAAATATTACTAATACAAGACCTGTCCTGAAATCAAAACTATATTTGGTTTTTACTTTAGGTGGTCTATACTTACTTTGCTATAAATATCGTAATTTTAAATCATACAGGGTGTTCATAATCCTCCGCCAAACTTTCTAAAATATAAAATACTTGTTTTTTTTAATAGAACGCTCTGTATATTATTTTTTTAATAGATGGAGAATTAATAAATGAACATTTTTTATATTAGAGTATTTTAAAATTCTTACTGGTTTTGTAGATATTCGCGGTTTTATATTTCATATGGCATTTTCCGCAGTAAATTTGTATCAAAGCCCAATGATTTTTCTCTCGTATTTTACCGTTGAAAGAACCATATGAAATAAGACCGCGAGTATCTGCAAAACCGTTAAAAATTTTGAAATACTCTAAATACAAAAAATGTTCATTTTTTACCTCTGCATCTAATAAAAAAATATAATACATATAATACAGGGTGTTCTATTAACAAAAAAAAACGAAGAAAAATTATTTTATATTTAAGAATCTTTGGCGTAGAATTTTGAACACCCTGTATGATTTAATATTACGATATTTATACCAAAGTAACTAGACCATCCAAAATAAATACTTAATATAGTTTTGATTTCAGGACAGTTTTTTAATTCGTAATAATTTTTTTAAGAAAGGCTGAAAAATATATATTTTTTTATTTATTTATTAACATCTCTGAAATTATCGAAATATATTTCCTTATATCTTAAGGATTATGTAAAGTGATCTGTAAGGAAGTTAATAATATACTCCACTCACACTTTTTTGAGCCACCCTATAGAAGTTAAAATATTTTCCTGAAATACATCCTAGTACATACTTTGAGTTCGCACTTAAACAAAATTTCCCAGTTTTTTCTAGGAGCTGCAGATGCTCGACGCACTATTGCCGGACCCTGTATACTAGTGTATATCCATATTTTAGCCTCTAATTTCTTTAAACCTCCAATTTGACAGGTACTTGGGAGCAAATGGTTAAATTTTATTAAGTCATTTCGTATATTTTTCATTTTATTGATTTTATGGAAAGCACTGTTCATTAAAATGTTGTATCCTATGTTATAGGGCTTGTTTCTCTCTACAATTTCCTGTCTCACAATGTACCGTTTGTGTCGGGGAAGGGATCATAGTTTCATAGTTGTCGATTTTCGAAAGAAATCAGTACATGTATATTATTTCGTATATTTTTCATTTTATTGATTTTATGGAAAGCACTGTTCATTAAAATGTTCTATCCTATGTTGTACATTTAACATACAAGTCACACATTTTTGAAAACTGAGTTCTATATACCTTTTAATTCGTTTACCTCAGAAAAACTCCCTGAATTACATTTTCATGCAAGATATTTGCAAAAAATACTGCACTGGATAATTTCAGTACTTTAGATTTATTATTCTTTTTAATATTCATAATATTTTAAATCATTTTTGTGCATTCTGTAAAATTTATTTCAATGGACTTGTCGGGTTTTGCATTTAGACGCCTGATTCATAAAGTCAGTTTTCTCCTAAATGAATTTAAAAAAAAATCCTATATGATGCGAACTTTATCTATGACACTGTATTGTTCCTTTGTAACGTTGCACAAGAACATCACTTTAAAATTTAAAAATGAAACAAAGTATTTTTGTTTTTCTGGGATTAACAAGAAACTTCATCAGTTATCATCTTAATAGATCAAAATAGATTTTTAAAAGTATTAATTGTTCCTTTGTAACGTTGTGCAACTTGCATTTTCATATTAATCACACATTGTTTACCTTATCTAGCATCTTATACGCTAGACCTTAGTACGAAACATCTGTTTGTTTGAGCTGGTTATGTTCCTATTGATGCTCAGCTTTATTCTTTCATATTTAGTGAGCCGCAAAGATGGAAAAATAGATCCGGAAGCGAGATTTAAAAAAGAAAGAGGCGACGAGAAGGATCACTTGTATATGGTGGTTATCGGACATGTAGACGCTGGAAAAAGTACCCTGATGGGTCGGTTGCTGTGCGACCTAGGCCAGGTTAACAAGAAGACCATGCACAAGTACGAGCAGGAGAGCAAGAAGCTGGGAAAACAGAGTTTTATGTATGCCTGGGTCCTGGATGAAACAGGAGAGGAGAGGAACAGGGGGATAACGATGGACGTGGGGCGGTACCAGTTTGAGACTAAAACTAAGGAGGTTAGTAATTATGAATAGTTATTAAAAAGAAATTAAAGAAAAATGCTTCAAGTTACTGATTCTTTAGCTACAGTGCGTTGAAAAAGTTTTGAAAGAAAATTTTCTCCATTTTTTTTAAATTTATCCACTATTTTTCTGAAATAGTTGGTTTTGATATCTAAATTATTCTAAACATAAGGAAATAGCAGATTAACAATAGGAAAACGTCATAACAAAGAATTACCTGAAAAGATAAAAAATATACATGGTGCGTCTCAAAACTGGCTCACCCTTATAACTTTCATTTTTTTAAGATAAAAAACGAAATTTCGTATGTTAGTATATGACATAAATTGGGATTGATTGACGTATTCAATTGTTTACAACTTTTGATTTTTAAATGGCACCCTCGGCACTTTTTTACTTTATTCGATAGAAAATGTCACTCTGAATGGAATGACATATCATACGTCAACCTTTGACATTTTTGTTAAAAAAAATTGTATTTTATATTTCAATCTAGAGTGCCATGGCTGTGTTGTTAAAAACACTAATTTTTAATTAAGGAGTCTTGGAAAAATATATTTTATCCTCTAATGTTTTTCGTGTCTTGTTCTGACCGGTTAAAAGATGCCCAAATCGTATTTTTAATCTGATTTTTTTCAAATGGAACGAGGGTGGCTCATTAGCATATTTGGAAAAAGCATTTTTTTATGAATAATTTGGTACCACACACTTGGTATTTCGAGTCAAATTGTCGTTATGAACCGCATGTTACAATTTCAAATAAACCATATGAGAAAATGTCAAAAGTTGACATGTGATATTTTATTCACAGTGTAATTTTATATCCAGTAAAGTAAAAAAATGTGGAACAGGAACACAGGAAGTGACTAAAAACAATAATTGAATACGTCAATCATTCCTAATTTATGTCATATACTAACGTACCAAATCTCGTTTTTTTTATCTGAAAAAATAAAAGTTTATGGGAGGAGCCACTTTTGAGACGCACCCGGTATACATATACACTTTATGCAAAGTATTTCTAAATATTTGGTCTTATTTAAAAAAAACATTTTTTATTTTTATTTTAATATTTTAAAGAATTCTTCTCTGTAACATATTCGTATTTTTTTAATAACTATCATTTAAAACAAAATATACAGGGAGTAAATAAATATGTGCGAAGAAATTCAAGAGGTGATTGCTTGTTAAAAATAAGGTTTTTTTAATATAACATTTTTATTTGAAAGGAAACAGTAGGAAACACAGAAAGTTATTTGGTTATATAGGGTGACCCAAAATTATAATATTGTCAACTTATAGTACAAAAAAGGCTTGAAGTATGAATTGGTATTTTCTAGTGCAAAAATCCTTCTTGACCCTTTTTCACCCTGTATTATACATCCTCCTCCCTAAAAAAATCAGCATTGATAGACAAAAAGAATATTGAACTATAATATTAACATATTTAACACTAGACTAAGTGATAATCAAAATAAATAAAGACAATGGAATGGTGGGTTCATACAGCCAAATAAAATAAAATAAGAATAAAATAAAATAAGAAATAAGGAATTCTTATTTGTGTGCGTTCATACAGTCAAATAAAATAAAATAAGAAATATATATTTGCTCATGCGCAGTACGATGAGGCTGGATAAAAGTTAACTTTTACGATTGTTTATAGTAATTTTACTATTTATAGTATATTTATTTATTCGTTGCCTACTATATTATACATTTTACTTATGTGAAATTATAAAATAAATTAAATCCAAACTGAAAATATTTGTAGGTTAGAATTAAGCGTGCGCAAAGCCGTTTTCACATAAAATAAAACAAGAAGTTAAAAGATAAAGACTTCTTATTTTATTTGTTATTTTATTTGGCTGTATGAACGCATGTACGGTATCCCATATAACCAACTTTCTTATTTTATTTTATTTTATTCTTATTTTATTTTATTTGGCTGTATGAACCCACCAGAAGTCCGAAATTCTTTTAGTTTTAATAAGTATAGAATATTATACATAAAATATATTAAGGGATCAAAATCAAAGACCACAAAAATCAGTTTTTTTTTTGAACATAGAATTATAGATAATAGTAGTAACCTAATAATAGTAGTGAGAAAACATGGGGTTTCCCATATACAGGGTGGTCCATTAAAGCGAAGAAGTCCAATATTGTCGTCGAAGAAAAAAAGTTTTATACAGATGTTGCATGGTTTATAGATGAGCATATCCTAAAAATATTTTGTTGTATACAAGGTGTCCCAAAAAAGTTATGATAAAGTTTTAAGTTTTTTTTTTATATTACACCCCCCATTTTTCTGCACAGATTTGGATTCGGCATAATTTTTTTTATACTACGCTATTTTTATTGCCAGCACTATGCGGTGTTGCCATTCTATTTCATATTCACTAAAACTTTGGGTTAAAAACACTATATCCGAAAAGTGGTTAAAAACTACAGTGAATTCAACTTTAGTTGTATTTTCTTACATCAAGGATAACAGAGTAAATCTGCGAACGAAATTAACATTATTTTATACAGGGTAATTTTCACGGCGTCATACTGCGTAGTTTTCATCGCAACATTTAAAATACTATATCTCAGTTTTTTTAAATGCAACATACTGTGTGTGTCTTTTAAATAGAGAATTAAAAAATTAACATTTTTTTTTTGTACTTAAAGTATTTTAAGCGGTTTTGCAGATATTCGCGTTATTATAGTACATATGGCACTTTCAACAGTAAATTTTTATCAAAACCATCTAATGATCTTTGTTTGGTATTGTACCGTTGAAACCCCCATATGTAATATGAGGCGCCTAGATGCAAAACCAGATATTTCCAATTTTCTGATTTTTGCTGTAAATGTATGGATATTTTTATTTTCATAAAAATGCATCGATTAGAAGCATAACCAACATTCAAAATAATAATAATAAACTAACAAAAAAGTTGTTATAATATGGTAGGCAGTTCTTTTAGTTTCAAAGTAAAGGAATTTTTCCAATTTTTTTTATCTCAAAAATTGCGACTGGCTGATTTTGATGTTATTACAAATTTTGTTGCAAATATTATTCCTAATCTTAAATTGAAAACCGCGTTTCGCTAGCTACTGTAATTTTGGAGTTATGATGTTTTAAAATTTTTAACCCCCTCCCATACCTCCTTACCAACCACCCACCCCCACCAAAAACTAATGGCCTCTCGGGCGCCACAGTATTTTTGTGCCAAATTAGGTTAAAATCGGTTTAGCGGTTTTTGAGGTATCGTGTTACAGACGGACACACAGACAGACAGACAGACAGACACCATGAAAATATTTTGTATTTAGGTCATTTATGACCCAAATAACTCATTTTGAGTGAAATTAAAAAAAATTTTGCCGATCTTAATTATTGCCGATCTTATTAGCCTACCATACTTATTGGTATGGTCGGCTAAAAATAGAGATATAACATTTTAAATATTGCGATATTCGCGACGCATGGGAAAATTTTGACATATGACATCCAAAAAATAATAGAAAATTCAGTTTAGTTTGAGTTATATCTAGTGTAACAAGTTGAGTTATGTCTAATGTAACAATTATTACAGGTCACCTTATTGGATGCCCCCGGCCATAAAGACTTCATTCCAAACATGATATCAGGAGCCGGTCAAGCTGACGTAGGTGTTCTGGTAGTGGACGCGACAAGAGGAGAATTCGAGACTGGTTTTGACCTAGGTGGTCAAACCAGGGAGCACGCTCTCTTAGTCAGATCTCTGGGCGTGACCCAATTGGCTGTGGTTATTAATAAGTTGGACACGGTGTCTTGGTCAAAAGACAGGTTAGTTCAATACACTTATAACATAATTTATAACAGAGTTAAATAACACCGCTAACTTCGTACCGCCTAAAGCCCCATACTTACTATGTACTGATCCGGGTTGTCGATGCTGTTTGTCAATGCGTCGATTTGATGCGTAAATACGCCCATGCGATGCATTATGTTCGTGATACGGCAGTTCGGCCGTATTACGAACATAATGTACGAATTTCCAAACGAACTAACGAATCGCATTGACGATCCACACCAACGCATCAAATCGATCTATCAGCACATAGAGGGTATGGGGCTTAACAGTGAAGAGTTTTTAATACAAATGACTGAATGATCTGGAATGATTGATATCAATCTATTTGACAGTTGTCATTTGTTCTCTATATTTTTGTTTCCATTTCAATTAAAAAGTATTTTCTATAAATTTCAATATATTTCTAGATTTGAATATGCCAATTTCCCACTATTTTCCGTTGAATTTCTATTCTATAATGTCGAGTATGCCATTGATTTGCAGAGGACATCAGTTATTAAAAATAAGCTGTACGCGTGCGTGACGTGACCTGTCAATTACGCAAGATAGCGGACTTCCAAACATAATTTATTTAAAAATAGCTTCATTCAGAATCTCGCAATTAGTGGAATATATTAGTGGTTTCAATTACACTTTATACTTTTTAGTTTACAATCATTCACAGTGTTTAAAAAAGGCTGTACTTAAACTGCCGTTAAACGGTAGCTTACTAAAATGCCGTTAATAGGTATGACGTCGTTAATGTGACGCACTTGACGGCTTTATGAAATATAGGAATTTTATAAGGACTAACCAACGCTATCCACCCCACCAAATAACCAACTTAACCAACGCAACTAACCTCGACACTGATAAAAAATATAAAAAACAAATATAAATTAGTAAAAATCAACCAACCCCACCAACTAACCAATGAATTAACACCATCCAAATCACCACGCTAACCAACCCGCCAAATAACTAAACCAATCCATCCAAAAAGAGTGAAACCAATGCGATAAGATCACGCTATAAGCAAAAAAAATATAAAAAAGTCTTGGTCGGCGTGAGATTTGAACCACGGACCATTCGCTTACGAAGCGATAGCCTCAGCCACTGACCCACAGGTGCTCTTGCAGAATGTTTAAGGCCAGGCATCACTTTCCGCCGACATGAACGACGTCACAATATCTATTAACGGCATTTTAGTAGGCTACCGTTTAACGGCTGTTTAATTACATCGTTTAAAAAACACAACTAAAATTAGTAGAATATTCTAGCATCAGCTTGCTAGCAACCACAATTTATAGATAAAGGAAACAAATTTAGATTGGAATGCTCGGCTTGCCGCTAAAACTTATAATTATTATTGTTTTGGGGTGCATACCTTGTACGGGATCCGGCGTTGCTATAGCGGTTGGCTAAGAACAACCGTAAACAAGAACAGAAATAATTTTTTCTTGTCAAAATCAGAATCCGCAAAAATTATAAAATTTTTCAAAATTTAAACTGCCTTCATTGAAAAATACCGAAAAGTGTTTAACGCGTCCATTTTCAAAGTAATTATTGCTATCTTGTGAGTTTAATTTAAATTTTATTTACTCGAACCCTGTGATAATTATTGTGAAAAAGTGGCATTAAAAACTTCTGTGTGAACTGTGAAACCATCGTGGATCGTGGAATAACGTCGCTTTTCAATGTTTCATACACGTCTTTATATAAAATAAGGTTTCTTATATATATGCAACACACTGTATTTTATTTAAAAAAATTAAAAGAAAATAGTAATAAATTTGAATAAATAATATTTGGCGACATAATTCCGGAAAAAGCCAAACCGCTCCGAAATTATCAAAAGCTTTGGAGAGCGACCGTTGTAAGAATAGCGCCATATAGTATTTACATACTCTTTGGCGCTTATTATGGGCACTTTCCAATCTTGTTTCCTTTATCTATGCGACAATTTCTCTTGAGGGAAGATAATTAAAGCCCAAAATGACATTTTTCGCAAATTTTGAAGTATAATTAGTGGAAAAGTTGAAGCTTCATTCAGGACCTCGCAATTAGTGGTTTCAATTACACTTTATTTATATAAAGTTTATACTTTTTAGATTACGATTATTCACAATGTCTAAAAAACACAATTAAAATTAATAGAATATCATAGCAACAGCTTGCGTTAGTCAGTTTTATCCATAGAAAAAGCCTAATATTTAGCTTATAAAACAATAAATCTTTGATTTCTAACCACAATTTCTCTTGACGGATATAGTCAAAGGCCAAAATGGCATTTCTTGTAAATTTTGAAGTAAAATTAGTGCAAAAGTTAAAAGTTTGATAACTTTTTCTACTAATTAAAAATGTCTACTACTAATTTTGACGTTCTGGATGCTTACATTGAAATGAAAAGAACAAACTTTTACGCTAATTGAAACCACTAATTTATTCCACTAATTGCGAGGTTCTGAATGAAGTTTAACAGTTTGATAACTTTTTCTACTAATTGAAAATGTCTACCAGTAATTTTGACGTTCTGAATGCCTACATTGAAATTAAAGGAATCAATTTCTACGCTAATTGAAACCACTAATTCATTCCACTAATTGCGAGGTTTTGAGTGAAGCTTATATGACTATAATTATTGAGTTACAGGTTTGAGGAAATTGTTCAAAAATTAAAGACGTTTCTCAAACAAGCTGGCTTCAAAGAAAACGACGTCACTTTCGTTCCGTGCAGTGGACTGACTGGCCAAAATCTCGTAAAGCCTCCAACTGAAAATGAACTACTCGAATGGTACAAAGGGCCTTGTCTATTAGAAGTTATAGGTATATAAATGTTTTAATTTTTGATTCAAGTTTCCAAGTTTTTGTGTTTTCAGACAAATTTAGAGCTCCAGCCAGACCAATTACAAAACCGTTCAAGTTTTCTGTAAATGATGTTTTTAAGGTTAGGTTTATTTATTTTAATTGTTTGTAATGAATGTATAAGGTTTTATGTTATTTCTAGGGTACTGGAACGGGATTCTGCGTAGCTGGTAGAGTGGAAACAGGAGTTTTGAACACTGGAGACAAAGTTCTGGTTTGTCCTAACAAAGATTTGGCCGCTGTTAAGTCATTGGCTATCGAAGAAGTTTCCAAGGTTGTTGTTTTCGCAGGTAAATATTACCGCAAATATGGTAATCGCAAAACAATTTCCGATGCACGTGATCAACTTTGAGTGACAAGCGATGGCCACAGCGCTGCCAGATTGTGATGGATTTATGAGATGAACTTAAAATTGACAAACAACATATTTATTATATCATTTTTTAAAAGAGTTTTACGTTTTATTTTTAATTTAATAACTGATATTTCAGGGATTAATTGATTTATTTGTTTTATAGCTTATTTTACTTATTACATATTGGCAAAAACTAGTTCATTATGAAGATTACTATAAGCGTTATTATAGACAGAGTATGGGATATTTATTTATTGATGTACATCTTACAACGCCATAAGTGGTAATAAGTACGAGGGTGCTGTTAATGCACAAACTAATAATCACAGAATTTAATAAAAACTTTGAAAGCAGTATAATGTGCTTATCAATCAAACTTACTTTTCTGACTGTAGGCAAGGTTAATAAAGGACCTTTATTGTCACGTTCTCGTTCAAAATAGTTTTAAAAAACAGGGAAGCTACAGTCTCTTTGCTTCAGCTGTTTAAAAGCTTCATCATATTTTCAACACACAATTTCAAGAAATGCAATACAAAAACTCGAAAATTTAGTTCTAAAAAGAACTGTTTGTGCTTAGGAGTGCAATTTAAAAAAAACTATGAAAATAGGCAAAAAAACGAGAGTTACTCACAAAGATTCAACAACCACACGATATTATACAAAATAATGACTGACACTAGGATGTAGAATGTAGAATGTTTAGGAGGGGAGTTAATCACCGCGACCTTATAGATCTATTGTGTGTTCCCCTTTCTTGAGTTATAACGAGTTATAACTCATCATACAGTCTCAGTGCTTTAAGAAAAGCCAGTATCTGAGACGGCTCCACAGAGGCCAGCTCTCCATCCTTGACATCAGACGTACCAAGGTTCATGGCACGAATGGTCGTCGTCTCGGCGCACTCAGTGATAAGGTGTTCTGGTGTTTCCCCATTTTCCCCACAAAATCTGCATTCGCCGTTGTTTCTCAGTTTCAGCCTACTGAGGTGTTCGTTGAGGAGACAGTGTCCTGTTAGAAACCCCGTGACAATCCGAAGATTGTTTTTACTTAAATCAAGGAAAACCTTTGATTTTTCTCTCGGTCATAAGTTCTAAGGAACTTTTTCGAGTGTCTTAGACCGTTGGAGGACACCCATTCCAAGTTACGGATGGAGTCTTCCAAATTCTTCAGTTCCGCTTTCAGTTGGTTCCCGTTTGGAAAACAGAACGGTTCTGGTCCAGTTAGTGGAGTGTTCGCTCCTTTTCTAGCTAGATCATTTGCTTTTTCATTGCCTTATGTTCCCTTGGTGAGCAGGCACCCAGAGTAGGAGGACTTTATTTTCTTTGCCTAATTTGTTGAGCTTCTCTAGGCATTCTTTGACCAACTTCGAATTGATGGCTACTGAGTTGATTTTAAGTGGTGCTTGACTATCGGATAGGATGGCAATTTCCTGTTTTCGATAGTTCCTATCTAAGATAAACTGTACGCATCTTTCGATAGCGCAAATTTCTGCCTGAAGGATACTGGGGTAGGTGCCCATTGGTTCACTAGGTGCCCAGTTTTCGGCCCAAATACTCCTATCCCTGTCACAACTTTGGTTTTGGAAGCATCAGTATACCACGTGATGGTATGGTCTTTTATGACACTAGGATAATGTCAAATAAAAAAGGACAACATTGGTGAACACGGCGCAATGTGACCAACATAGTGATAATAAAATTCGGTTTAAACTAATTTTTGCAGCTTTAATCTAAATAAAATATCTGTTACAATCATTTGCTCTATAATGTAAAATGAAGAGCTGCTCGGTATCTTAAATTATACAACAAATTTAAACATTTTTGGCAAAATTTCATTTAGTCAGGTTTATAGACTTTAGTGTCAATGTCGATATGATTGATGACGTATGGGAAAATGTTTTGCGATTACAATAAAACAGCCTCTATACTATCCCCGAAATGTTTTACGAAATATTTCTGGAGAAGTTTACCACCCAACTTTTTCGAAAAGAATATTAAAATTAAAATAAAAAAAACAGGGTGTTTCAGAACTAAGATCCATACCAAAGTTATATTTTTTCTTATGGAACACCCGGTATTTTATTTCATTTTTGGATTCTTGGGCCCAAAAAAAGGTATTTATTATAAGGGTTAAATATGTTTAAAATCTTTGATTTTTGGCCGCAAGAGTCTTGCATACTTGGTCTTGGTCTTGCCAAAGTCTTGAACTGGCCAGTCTCGATCCTGCTTTTTGTGCAAGATCAAGACCTTGTTCGTCACTAAGAAAGGGGACAAACACAATAGGCCTTACTGGTCGCAATGTTACCGGCATATGACGGCTCCTTAATATTGTAGAAAAAAAAAACAAATAACACTTTAATAAATCCATACAGGGTGTGGTATTTTGTAACATAACAATTTTTGTTTATTATTTTTAGGTGATCAAGCCACTGTAACGTTATCAGGCATAGAAATGCAAAACGTGTCGGTAGGTAACATTTTATGTGATCCCGGTAATCCAGTGCAAGTGTCAAGTAGATTTGAAGCCAGAATTGTGATATTTAATATTGCTGTGCCTATAACAAAAGGCTATTCGGTAAGTCGTGGCACATTATTTGTCAAGATAAACTAAAGTAGCATATTTGGGAAATACAATATGATGAAAAGAAGTTTTAATTTACTGTAGAAATGAAAATTAATGATATTCACCATAATAATTTTACTTATAAAGAAAGTGTCATCTATCCTCACTTCTAAAGAAATTTGACACCGTTTTTTTTTTCGATTATAAGGGATTTTCTGCTTATTATTTACGGAATAACATAGCAAAAACTCATTTCTTTCTTTTATAAAATTATATATACAGACTATAAATGAATAAGGGCCGGTTCTACAAAGCAAGTACATATATACCAGGTATAACCAATTCTTGGAATATCTATTAATAATAATTCAGTTGCATTACCTAAGTTATCTTCGTTAATTCGTTGCATTACCTAAGTTATCTTCACAACTTTGACCACGTCCTCGAGGGTCCTGTTCTAATTTTCGCTTGACTGACCGCGGTATATGTATGTACATAACTACTGTAATCAACTGTCTAAAAACTGGCTTTGGTAAATTCAGAGAATTTTTTCGGCGTTGCCTCTTAGACTGTTAGTGTGGGATAAAAAAATAGTACAATATTGCAAGTGGGGTAGCTTTAAATAGCATAAAATAAGCTCAATAAAGACAAATAAATGCATAAAATTTCAAATCAAATTCAAATGTTTCAAACAAAACGTCATACAGAACTGTCAATGATCCTCACCTTACTATGCATGAATACATGTGGATATTGTTATACAGCATTATCGAAAAAACGGCGTCAGCGATGGCTATGAAATGAACATCGCTGTCATTTTATATGTAAAATTATATGGGAAATATTCATATTCAAATCACCTGCCGCCCTTTTTTTTTCGAACATACGGTATTTCTTTCTTAATATTTGTATTTTAAAGTTCTATGAAAATCCCCACTTATTTTTTAACAACCACCCCTGTCTTTTTTTTCGCACTTATTTATTTACAGCCTGGTGCCTGGTATACCAGGTGCGTCTCGAAAGTGGCGCACCCCTATAACTTTTTTATTTTGTCAGATAAAAAAACGAGATTTGGTATGTTAGTATATCACATAAATTAGGATTGATTAACATATTCAATTCTTTTTGGTCACGTCCTGTTTCGCCAGAAATGGCTACAACTTTTGATTCTTAAATGGCACCCTCGGTATATTTCTACTTTATTCAATAGAAAATGACACTCTAAATAGAATGACATATCATATACTTAACAACTTTTGACATTTTTGCTTAAAAACAAATCGTATTTAAATTGCAATCTAGAGTGCCATGGCTGTGTTAGAAGCACTAATTTTTAATCAAGGAGCCTTGGAAAAATAGTTTTGATCTTCTAATGTTTTTCGTGTCTTGTCGTGGCCGGTTAAAAGATGCCCAAATCGTATTTTTCTCAATTTTTTTCAAATGGAATAAGGGTGGCTCATTAGCATACTTGGAAAAGGATTTTTTTATAAATAATTTAGTGCCACATAATTTGCTAATTGTCGTTATGAACCGCATTTTACAATTTCAAATAAACCATATGCGAAAATGTGAAAAGTTGACATATATGATATATCATTCTATTCAGAATGTAATTTTCTATCAAATAAAGTAGAAATATACCGAGGATGCCATTTAAAAATGAAAAGTTGTAGTCATTTCCGGTGGAACAGGAAGTGACCAAAAACAATTGAATACGTCAATAAATCCTAATTTATGTCATATACTAACATATCAAATCTCGTTTCTTTATCTGAAAAAAATATAAAAAAGTTATAGTGGTGAGCCACTTTTGAGACGCACCCTGTATAGTTTTTTAATAATCGTTCCATATTTCTTTTAGGTGGTGTTACATCATCAATCGCTGGTAGAACCGGCCGTGATCAGCAAACTAACATCTCAACTGAACAAAAGTAACGGCGAAGTGCAAAAGAAACATCCGCGTTTCTTGAGCAAGAACTCGAGTGCAATCGTGGAAATCTCCGTTTCCAAACCGATAGCTTTGGAAGTTTATAGCGAGTGCAAAGAACTAGGAAGGGTTATGTTAAGGGTAGGTGGCGCAACAATCGCAGCCGGACTGGTCACAAAGGTTTTGTAACTTTATTTAGATAAGGAATTAATTGTTATATTGTATAAATTAAAGATTAAATAAATTAACTTATTTTATTTTTGAAGTTTGCTTTCTACATAGTTCATAACTTGTTGATTCAGTGGCGCATCTAGAGATTGAGTCGGGGGGGGGGTAGTAGCAATATTAAGGTATTATAGATTTAAATTAATTTTGCTTTACATTTTTTGACTGTGGAAAAAAATATACTTGGACTGGTCAGAACCTTGGTCAGAATTTTCTACAGTATGACTCTGGATTGTCTTTACAAGAGGAAAAACTTTTTTATTATTAACATTTTGAGAGAAATGTATTCTTCATAAAACTTTTTGCTTGTCATAAAATGGTTAATCCCTATTATACTTTTCGAAATTTCCATACCGTTTCAGAGAAAATTAAGAGAAACATGAAAATAGTGTTGAATTTTTTTTAAAGTACGAAAAATCAAAATGCGTTTCCATAGTAATATCAATTTGATTTCATTACGGATTTCATTCTTTTAATAAATACTTTTATTAATTTTGATTGTCATATTCTTTGTTAAAGTATCACATTTTCCGATAACTATCATCGCTCTTTCCGTAGCATGAACTAAATAAATTTTGTGGTTCTTTAACATTCTAAAATAACAAAAAATATTACGTTAATTAACATTGTATGAATAACAATCTATCAAAGAATGAAAACGGTGTTATATTATCACAGAGACGCGTTTTCATTTTTAGGATTTTAGGACCAAAAAATCGACACCTTTTTCATGTTTTTCTTAATTTTCTCAAACGGTATGGAAATCTCGAAAAGTATAAACAGGATTAACCATAGACTTAAAATAAAATTTTATTTTAAGTCTATGGGATTAACGATTTTACGACAAGCAAATTTTTTATGTAAAATGCATTTTTCACAAAATGTCACTAATAAAAAAGTTTTTTCTCTTGTAAAGACAATCCAGGGACATACTGTATATTGATTGTTATTAATAAATTCTTTTATAATTTTATTTTTTAAGTTAAAATATTATTTATAAAAAAATATAAATTTCTTTACACCCATTACCCCAGCTGTATATGCGCCCCTGTGTTGATTAATAAGTTTTTTTAGGGATAAAATAAGAGAAGATGAAGCTACTGATTCTATATCTTTATCTTATTATATGAGAGTAACAACTCTTGTATTTTTATTAGTTGTAGGTATATTTATTTTTTATTAATTACATTGCTACATAATGATCTAAAAAAATATGTATTTTGCCATTTATAATAAAAATATTAAACAGGAATTATTGACAATGTCTTCAAGTTTGCAAAGAATTATAACTCAATAACAGAGCAGTTTTGTTAATTTTTTGTACATCCAGTTCAATACTGCCATAACTGCATTTTTTTTCAGAAATTCAGATATAATAATTCAATAGAAATATGATTTTTTTCCATATTGTGTTAACCCCTACCATATCATGAAAAGTCGTATTTTATGATTATTTAGTTAGATCTGTCTTCTATGGAAATGCAGCAATAATTTATCACCACAATAACATATTGTACCCATTTTTTCCAAAAAATGCAAGTTATGGCAGTATTAAATAGGATATGCATTTTATTAAGATTATTTAAGTTTATTTTATTTATGTTTTTCTTAGAAAAACAATTCGCACTGAACTTTTGTAGATTAATTTTTTTATACTAGTAATGTATTCAATAAAACACAAAAATATAAAACAAAAATATTCTTTATTTTCTATATACTTAGAATTAACAAAATAATGTAGCTATTTTAATAAAAAAATATCAGTCTCACCATAATTTCTTTCTAGAAATATTTATCACAAACATTAACAAAAACCTATCTCTAAAATACTGAGTTAAATTATTTAATCTACTTCTTCTATCGTTGGACCATTGCTCTGAGATCCACCAAATCCACCAGCTTGTCTGCCGCATCCACCAGGCATTCCTCCACCCATATTGGTATTCTGAGATCCGCCTCCATATAATTTGGCCATGATAGGACTGCACACTGATGTTAGCTGTTTCTGTTTATCTTCAAACTCTTCCTTTTCGGCCAGCGTGTTGGAGTCTAGCCATTTAAGAGCAGCCTCGCACTCCCTTTCGACCGTCGCCTTGTCTTCTGAGCTTAGTTTGTCCCCGCAGTCCTGCACTGCTTGTTTCAGTTGGAAGATGTAAGCCTCCAGTTGGTTGCGTGAGGCTACTTTTTGTTTCTGTTTTTCGTCTTCCTCCTTGTACCTCTCGGCCTCAGACAACATGCGGTCGATGTCGGCCTGTGACAATCGGCCTTTGTCGTTCTTGATTGTGATGTTACGGCTGTTGCCAGAACTCGTGTCTTTAGCGGATACGTTGAGGATTCCATTGGCATCCAAGTCGAACGTTACGTCTATCTTTGGTACACCTCTGGGAGCTGGAGGTATGCCAGTTAGATCAAATGTGCCCAGGAGGTTGTTGTCTTTGGTCATGGCACGTTCACCTTCGAATACTTGGATTGTTACAGCGGGCTGATTGTCCGCGTAAGTGGTGAAGGTCTGGCTCTGTTTGCATGGAATGGTTGCATTTCGCTCGATGATCTTGGTCATGACGCCACCAGCTGTTTCGATACCCAAGGAGAGAGGGGTAACATCTACCAACAACACATCTTGGATCTTCGAATCTTTTTCGCCGCTCAGTACAGCCGCTTGGACTGCTGCACCATAGGCTACAGCTTCATCTGGGTTGATGGACAGGTTCAGCTGTTTTCCATTGAAGAAGTTTTGCAGCAGTTGTTGGATTTTGGGTATTCTCGTCGAACCACCAACTAAAACGATGTCGTGAATAGAGCCCTTGTCCATTTTAGCGTCAGCTAGGGCTTTTTCTACAGGTTGAAGAGTGCCTCTGAACAAATCGGCGTTCAGTTCTTCGAAACGGGCCCTCGTAATTTTGGTGTAAAAGTCGAGGCCTTCGTAGACAGCGTCAATTTCAATGGAGGCTTCGGTGCTGGAACTGAGAGTTCTTTTCGCCCTTTCTGCTGCTGTCCTTAATCTTCTGACGGCCCTCGGGTTGGAACGTAGATCTTTCTTGAATTTACGTTTGAACTCTTCAGCGAAGTGGTTCACCAATCTGTTATCGAAGTCTTCACCTCCAAGATGGGTGTCTCCGGCTGTGGATTTAACTTCAAACAGCGATCCTTCGTCGATTGTAAGGATGGAAACATCGAAGGTACCGCCACCCAGATCGAAAATCAGGACATTTCTTTCTCCTTTAAGATTTTTGTCCAAACCATAGGCCAAGGCAGCCGCTGTAGGTTCGTTGATTATCCTCAGAACGTTTAATCCAGCGATAACTCCCGCATCTTTCGTAGCTTGCCTCTGGGAATCGTTGAAATATGCTGGTACAGTTATAACTGCGTCTTTGATGTTTGTTCCCAGGTATGCTTCTGCTATTTCCTTCATTTTCGTCAGGACCATCGAACTAACTTCTTCTGGAGCGAATCGTTTCGTTTCACCTTTAAATTCGACCTGCAATTTGGGTTTGCCGGTCTCGTTGATGACTTTGAATGGCCAGTGTTTGATGTCGGCCTGAATTTTTGGATCGTCGTATTTTCGCCCTATCAATCTTTTAGCGTCGAAAATGGTGTTCGATGGGTTCATCGCGACTTGATTTTTGGCAGCATCGCCGATGAGACGTTCGGTGTCGGTGAACGCCACGTAACTTGGAGTTGTTCTGTTACCTTGTTCGTTGGCGATGATTTCCACTTTTCCATGCTGCCACACTCCCACACAGGAATATGTGGTTCCCAAGTCGATACCAATTGCTGGAGCTTTAACCATTTTGATGTCTTCTTTTATTTTTCTCTTTTCACACAATAACACCACTGTAAAATTTTATAAAAACACAATAACTTTCGCTTGGTAAAACTTTGAATTTGTTCGCTGTGTCGCTTTTGCTTCACACTCGTCGCTTGTTTTCAAATTGACTGGTTACCGCGCCAACGGCGTCGGTTTATATACAGAAAGCCGAGGCGTATCGAACGCCACAGAAGCGAACGGAAATTTCTGGAGCTTCTCGAAAAATACAATAATAGAAGTCTGAATATTACACCGTGTCTCAAATAAATTATGAAATAAACATTTCACATAACTATTTAATTTTTACAGTTTGTTTGAAATATATGATTTAAAGACTTTCTTTATTTAAAAATACATGAAAAATATTTAATTTTAATTATTTTTTTTTGCTTAAAGCGTTTTTAACTAATTACATATATGTTGATAGAATTGTAATTATTATATATTTTAAAAAACGAGCAACGGACTATTTAGACATAAAGATTTAAATTAATTTCTATGGTTTTTTTAATTTCAAAAGGGCATATATTTAGTAAAAACCGTAAAAATTAGTAATATATGGAGTATATTATATGGACCATTAAGCTATTAATTTGAATATTCTTATGGCGAAAACCATATAATATAAAATATTAAATATATAATATCTACTACTGGTCACTTAAATACAATAGATATATATTACGTATATATTTAGTAAATGTAAGATAAAAACATAATGTTTTTGTTACAAAAGCGATTTTGTACAACTATTTACATACGTTTCATCAGTGACAAAAATGAACACCCAAGTTTTGATTTTTCATTATAAGATTTATGTAGCATTAAAAAAACCTTTTAGTTACTAAAACTTTAGAATACCCACAATCAAAGTTTACAGAATAAAATAATATTCTGTTATGTTTTAACATTAAATTCTTATACAGATAATTAACACTTTAAAAAGAAAACATTTTATACTTTGATTGAATAGATTGATTTGATCTTATACTCTGATTTTTTGCTTTTTGTTCATTAAAACCCCTTTTTCTAATGATGGATATGGCGTATGGGGTTTATTCAATATCGTTTATTAAGAGATAATAATAATAATTTTTCTGATGTATTTATTAATTTGAATTCAGATTTTATTGTTAAATTGCATGATAGATTATTGTGGCAAATTAAAATTCATGGGTGTACAAGATAGGTAGATGTATTTTAGTTAGCGCACTATTTTGATCA